ATTTTATTTAGAGTAATTAAAACAATTATGAGACTAGCTGAGATATTTATTAAAACTTTCAGCTGTAAATGCAATTATCTCACACATTTTGGTTCTAAATTCATTTATTCAAATTCTAGGTTTGATACCCTAAAAAGAAAAGATGTACATAGATTTAGTGGGAATCAAACAAAAACCTTCCAGGGTAATAACCACCTGGACAAAACCAACCACAATGGACTATACCATTGTTTAAGTGGGGTGGACAATGTTAAGTGGGAATTGTTTTTATCTAGTTCTACAATAGGACAGGTTACATTGTGACTTCCTATTATGCGCCATTAATTCATTCAATTCTTTTGCCAACATGTATGTAAGTTAATAAGCATTGTAGATTTCAGCAATTAATGTGCTTAAAGTTTTTTATAATTTTAATTATTCTAATACAACACTTTTCTTTCAAACTCTATATAAATTCAAAGCAAGAGTTTAATACATTAATAACTCTATTTATGGTTATGGTATTTGTGGCATTGTATAGTATTGTAACTTCATTTAAATTTCTAAAAGGACTTGTCCTGACTTCCTTTAAAAATTTCTTGAAAGTAATTACTTTGCAAGTAATCAAATTGGTCCCTCCAACTAAAACACAAAAATGATAACCAACTTTGGAATGGTTTATAGCTTCACCACCCAAACGTGTACAGAATAAATCCACTACTAATTTATTTGTGTATTAATTTGATTAATTCATATTTTTGCTTTTGGAATTGTGGCTCTTTATTAACTCACTTATTTATTCTATTAAAAAAAAGATTGTGTGAATTATGTTTTGAAGGATATAAATGTTATTTTGATTTGAAAATATCTAAAAATAAATGTTATTTTGAATTGAAAATATCTATATTATTTGAAGGAGAGCATGATTGTTTTCATTTTCCTACTGTACGTTGCTAACCCTTTAATTTTTTAATAATACATACAGTACATTGATTTATTTTTAAAATTGTTAATAAATACTGTATAATATAGTACATTGTTATTACTACTTTATTATTATTATTTAATTTGTGTAAAGTGGTCCAAAGTGTTGGGGGGGGGGGGGGGGGGCGCGCTAAGGACATAGCCCTTCCGAGGTCGCGCGCTGAGACATTCTTGATATTTTGAGGTCTTAATAGATTTTGAAGATGCAATATGAACTGTGTTTTAAATGGGCTTTTTTTTTTTTTTTTCGGTGACAGACCAGGAAATGAGGGGACCTTTAAAGATGGAGGGTTGATATTACCTCAGCCCCACCATGATTGGGGCTGAGGTAAGAACATTTTTAATTATGGCACCCATAGGTAGCAGGAAATGCTACTCTTAGACTTTAAATACAATTTTCCGTTTTTTCTTTTAGGGGAAGGGCCCAGGCTGGCTGCTCCAACCCCCTGAATCTGCCACTGGTTTTGAGAACATTAAACATCTCCAATGTTCTGTAGTCCGTCAAAAATGTTGATGGCCCAACAATGAGTATAGAAACTTATCTATACAAATTAAATCAATCTAATTTATAAAACTGTGGAAATGCATTAATTATACTACAGGTTAACGTTCGTTAATATGATTAAATCTAAAGAATCCTAATTAAATCTAGGTCTGAGTAAAATAAATCCCTAAAAAACGGACATACAGTACACATACTGTAGCCTAGATGTTAAACGTGCCACTTTCAACCACGTGTGCCTTAGAATTTTACTCCATATGTCAATATACTATGTAAAATTATAGAACAAGGTAAATAAACATTAATAAATTTAAACGTAAAAGAAATAATGTAGGTCTAGCGCACAATGAAAAAACCTATAAAATTATTGGGCATTGAAAATACTAAATTTTTACCACAAATGTAAATGTTATAAATAACTGGAATTAATGGAAATTGCGAATATGAACAAATAATGACAAACGCTTTACGTCGTGAATGAGATGGGTAGACGTCATAAATATAAAAAACACAACATTTCTCAAAAAGCTTATATACAGTGAGAAGGCCTTGCTTGTACGACAAATTAAGGTCAGTCCTAGTTGGAAACTGCTCTGGTTGGTCAAGCAGTTCTGGTGGATGGATTTCTCGGACGTGTGAGTGTCTTGAATTTTCTACGCCGGGAAATGTGGACCTTTTGTAATTTGGGTGGGGGGTGCGTACACACCCGTCGCACCACTCCCCCAACCTCCTGCGTACGGGCCTGGAGTCAAGCTATTTTAGCTGAACTTTGATGCAACTGATTGGTATGGTAACAACAATCCACAGGCAGGCCTAGCTAGACCTTATTTGGAAGACTAAGGAAAAATGTCTAGACTAAATGTAGAAAATTATGTAGCTCTACCATTTCTTGTTTTCATTGTTAGACTCATATCATGGATGTAATTTGTAGACACTCGCTATGGATAAATAAAGTTTTACCGATTCCCATTCTCAGACCTCTATGTTATGTATATAATGGTGTTTTTGCATCAGGATATTTAATAGGAATGATGTTTTGCTCTACCTGACGTGTTTTATCGTACTGAACCTCATAACTTGCGAGTATTCTGGTAGGAATTGAACCTAGAGCAGCTTAGCTCAGTCGGCTAATCCATGAACCATGAAGATCTTTAGGTCCCCGGTTCAATTCCCATCTTTGCCTCTCCTTGTGTTTTAGTTGGAGGGCTGAAATACAGGTTACAATAGCGCACCGTCTTTTAGATGCGACGTTTAAGCTCTTGGTCCCCGTGTGCATGTATGGCCTATGTGCACGTTAAAGAACGCAATACAGACCCATACTGAGCCATTCCCTTTACCATAATACCCGTCTCAGCAATAGCTCTCACAGACGGGTTTGAGGAACCACACTTTGCTCTGACCTTAACTGACAATCAAACTCAATATCAAAAGTGAGAGTGGCATTGGTAATTAGTTTTTCAGCAAGTTGTCAATAAATCACATAGGCATACATAGTATAGCTGACCTTGCATGGACAATAAATTACAGAAGCTATGATTAAATCCAATTAAAGAGCAATACCAGAGATAGGCCTAATGTCCCAAATGATGGTTAGAAATCAGTAAAATAGGTAAAGGGTAGAAACACCTCATGTCAGAAAAGAGTAGGGGATTTTCTCCCTGTGTACTGCCCAATCACCACCAGAAGGACCCTGCTGAAAATAAGTCTTCTAGACTTTCTTGGGCTTGGGCTATCCTTGGTGTTTACACCGAATAAATCGAATCCAATCCAACCCAAAACTTACAGAATCACTTGCAGGATTTTTTCTCAAGCTTTTGGGAACGTCTGAGTATTCAGTAAAATAACACATCAGGTTGGGCAAAATATCATTCTTATCATGTTATGGTTTTAAATAGTAATTAAACCTTTCATCTATGCCTTGTTAAAATGTTTGATCCTGACAAATTATGCTTGGCATCTAGTCCTTGGTGCATAGCAAAATAACGCTTAAAGCATATAATTCTACACACTAATGCACTTGCCTAGTTATACAGCACTAGTCCCTTCTCTGTCTTGACAAGACTAGATCTCCAAAGAGATACTTTTTATAAATAAATCAATGTACAGTGCACCTTCCAAATCGACACCCCTCTAATTCCGAGACCCTCTAATTCGAGACCACTTTTCCAAAGACCCGAACAACAATCTTCACCCTTTTAGCAAAGATACTAGAAATACATAATAGAGTTCTCCACAGAAAAAAAGTGTTCCACCGAAATGCATGGTGGGAATACACATAGCCATATATATAAAGAGTTGCGACATTCCGCTCCTTGGTTTGCGGAAGTCGCGTGGTACACACCGTCCATTCTGTGTCATAATCTTCCCGATGAACACATGCAAAGTATATGTGTTACGTACATTGCATATTATTTTCACACTTAATTGGCTTTACAATTATATTTTATAATTAACATCAATTATTATGGACAGCGTATTAGAATTCATATACAATCGAATATTTGCGCGTGTGCGTGCTCGCGTAAATTATTGGAAAGAATTAAAATTTTTTCAATTATCGTTAATTCGTCACATTTTAACCAACGAAGACTGAAGACCCGACGTATTTTAATTAATGGTAATCTTTTCTTTGGTTTTACAACAACAACAATCTTCACCCTTTTAGCAAAGATACTAGAAATACATAATAGAGTTCTCCACAGAAAAAAAGTGTTCCACCGAAATGCATGGTGGGAATACACAGAGCCATATATATAAAGAGTTGCGACATTCTGTTCCTTGGTTTGCGTAGTAATTTTTTTTTTTTATTTTCTCATTCGCCCAGATGCGTTCAGAAAAATATTTAAGCTAAATAAAAAAACAAATTTAATTTTTTTTTTCGCACTTTTCTGACGATCTTTAAATGTTGTTCGCTTAACAATATTAAAATTTTTTTTTTTTAAATTTCAATTGTTTTTACAGCCTGTATAAATACAAATGACAATGGAAATAAAGGTGATGTTTTATAATCTTAAAAATAATTATTATAACTTTATTTGGAAACGACGCTTTTAAAACAGCGGACACGCTCTTGCAGTGTGTTCATAAATGTAACATACTGTACAGCCATAATACAATAATTAAACAGAGGCTAGACTTTAATACAATAAAATGTACGTTACATAATTACACAAGTTGAATGTATCATAGATCCTGTATATCATTTAACACTTACAATTTATAACATTTACAGCAAAGCACAGTTTATATATTGCGGCCAACTGACCTACTATTTTAATATTTATAAATAATAATCAAATTAATAACATAAGATTTGTATAGGGCCCGCTCATATTCAAATTTAAAGAGCAACAATCTATATACCCTATATACGGATTTTAATTACATTTTGATATACATAATATTTAATTAAATTTTGCTGGTCGTCGCATATCATCTATTTGTAAAAATAACAGGAGTTACTTAAGGATTGCCTAATTGAAAAATGCTTGCCATCGACAGGCTTTCTCTGTCTATCGGCGGGGAATAAAGAACTCACTTAAAAATAGTAAATTATTACAGTATTTATAATATGAAGTTGGATATAAAATAGTGAAATCATTTAAAAAAAAATCTATAAATAGAGTTACATGAAATTCAACTGCTAAAAAGATTAAATGGAATGAAACTATACAGGAGGCCGCTAACTGTATTATACCATGGAGGTATTATCAAAGATAGAGTTCTCCACACAAAAAAGTGTTCCACCGAAATGCATGGTGGGAATACGAAAAATGCGACGCCCCCTACAGCTGGATCTAAAAAAAACTTTTGCCAAACTTTCGTTACCAAGTCGTCGCGTATTTTATTATCAATTCTCAACAAAGATACTAGATAAAAAAACAAACTGGAATAGACACCCAGACAGACATCGGTGAATACATAACCTCCTTGGTGGTGGTAGAAATCGTTGCTATTATCCAAATAATACACAAAACAATTAAAGCATAATCATGAATCGCATGGCCGGACACACTCTTAGTGAAAAAGTTTTCCTCCATTAGTGGAAAAGGAAGGGCGCCTTTTGCGTCTGGATATACTTAGCAACAGAATGGCGTCCTGTACGTTGGGCACGAAGTATAGGAAACTTGCTGGTTAAAAAGAAGGGCGCCGCCTACGTTGGGCACGACTTCCGCCTCATTTTTACAATGCGAGAACTCTATCTTGTATTTCTAGTATCTTTGGTATTATTGAGAAGGAGATCACTCGAAAAAGCTACGGGCACGCAGCGCTATGCAAATGAACCAAGATCAAAGCTGCCACAGCGCGTGAAGTACGTTTGCGCGATGTCTTTGAAGTCCCATGTGTTCCCCGCCATCAAATTTTCAGCAGGCATAGTTTACCAAAAAATTGAACATAGTGAAATGGAGAGCACCTTCTTTTCTCGATGCGCACTACATACAGTCAATCACTATGGCTGCGCAATCGTTTCCATTTTTAAGCTGATACATTTATCTCATATTAATATTTTCCACCTAAAAAACTTTCGAATTTAATTGAACATTTACATGACCTTTAAAAGTATAGTATATTTCAACTTAAATGTCCATAAATTGGCCAAAATTGCTAATTCTAATTTTAACAGATATTAATAAATGTTTGAGGATTATAATAAACTAAGTCATTTTAGGGTTAACGAGGGTTAACTATTTGAAAAATCAATCCAAAATCTGAGTATTTTTCAGTTTTACGCTGACTTAACTTTATAGTTGAACTAATCAATCTTTAGACAAAATTATAATGAACACAGAAGTAATTTTAACATAAATATTTTACGGAATCCGTTCCTGAAATATACAAATAATAACATACCAAAAGTCCGAAAAAATCTAATCAGTGGAACACTGTTCATTATAAAGATATTTAATGGGTTAAAATCAAATGCTTTATTGCACAACAGCTCTGCTGAAAGCGTATAATGCATGTCGTTGCCAAGTTGTTGCTAACGAAAAAGTGTGAATTGTAGGGTAATACGCCCGCGCGCGATGCAAAAGCGGGGAACACATGGGTTTGTCGCATCAAAGGGAACTGTTGTCGAGTGATCTTCTCAATAATACCTCCATGATTATACAATATTATACACAGGAACGCACATCACGTTAGACACAGAACGCGCATCGCGTTGAAAACAAAATGGCTTCTAAATTCTCAATGTCGCAACTCTTTCTATCTATGGCTCTGGGAATACAAACAATGGGGCGCCCCGTACGGCTGGATCTAAGAAACTTTGTCAATTCTCATTTAAAAAATTGTACACCGAGATGCGCTATGGCGACGTACGGCATTCGCGGAGGTAGAATTCGTTGTTATATTGCAACTAAAACACAAAACAATTAAGACAATAATCAAGGATCAGTAAAGAATAAAAGAACAATGGCCGGACGCACTCTGTGATAGAGTTTTTTCTCCATTAGTGGAAAAAGAAGGACGCCATGTGCGTCTGGATACTTAGCAAAAGAAGGGCGCCCTGTACTTCGGGCCCGAAGTAATAGACCTATCCAAGAAAACATTTTGAGTGGCGCCCTCTATTGTCGGCGCCATTACTGGGGTGGCATTTCCGAAGTTGGGAGATGCAATCAAAGATAGAAGATAGAGCAGCTTCCCAATATAGTGGAACATCCGTTCCAAAGGCATTGTGGGTACACAGAGAGCAATTTTACCTCATCCGCGCGGCGGCGCTATATAAGAAAATAAACAGCAATAAAGGCCGCTCTGGTTCGTTTGTTTCCTGTAGTTTTTCCACTTAGTAAAATATTCAAATTCGTCTTCAACCTATATTTTATTACAATCCTAGATAAGTATATTCCTGGTATTAAGACAGAATTTTAATAAATATAGGGGTTTGTGGGCCTCGATAGATCGTATATGACTAGCTAGGCCGCGCCTGTAGGCCTTGGAGGCTGTAGGCAAAAAGACAGCGTGACCACTCACAATTTTTGATATACCCAATGACTGGGTCGAAATTACCCAAGATTCAGCAAAAAGTGCCCAAAATTACCCAAGCTTCCGGAAAATGTATTAAAATTTGAAAAAAAACGTGTTTTTTCGCATGTATAGTTTCCCTTTTAGTTCAATTTATAAACCATTTTTTTATTGTAATTGTTTGTGTTAATTATTAAAATTAATATTCATGAGGTGATAATACGGATAGAAAAATACGCCCTCAGTCGGCCAGTGATATCAGTAGATCAGTGATCAAGTTTTATTATGTAATGCATTAATTAGGAACCCAAATTTATAGCAATTGACAATGCTATGTGCACTTCGTTGAGTTTTGCTTACTTGAATGGACTGAAATATACTTTGTTACTTCTTAATTCTTCCTCTATGACAAAAATATTTAATATTCTTAGTAAAAATAAAATACCCAAGGATTTGAACGGAATACCCAAGACCAAGTCAAAATACCCATAATGTTGGGTAAATACCCAAGCAGTGGTCACACTGGACAAAGATACTAGAAACACAAGATAGAGTTCTCCACACACAAAAAAGTGTTCCACCGAAATGCATGGTGGGAATACAAACAATGGGACGCCCCTTACGGCTGGATCTAAAAAAACTTCAACCAAACTTTCGTTACCAAGTCTTAGCGTATTTTATTGTTAATTCTCAATTAAAAAATTGTACACAATTGTACAATTAGTACAATTGTACCCAGACAGTGAAATGGTGAATACATAATTCCTTTGCGGAGCTAGAAATCGTTGCTATTATCCAAATAAAACACACAATTAAGCCTATGGATCAGTATAGAAAACAACAATATAGCGCAAAATCGTATGGCCGGACGGACGCACTCTAGTGAAAATTTTCCTCCATTAGTGGAAAAAGAAGGGCGCCGTGTGCGTCTGGATATACTTAGCAACAGAAGGGCGCCCTGTACGTCGGGAACGAAGTATAGAAAACTTGCATGGTTAAAAAAAAGCGGCGCTGTCTACGTCGGGCATGATTTCCGCGTCGTCATATTAATGTTTTCCGTAATTTAACAGGTGAGGAACCATCTTCAGAGGATGATTTAAGGCCTGCAGTTAAAAAATTCACAGATTTTAGAGATGAAGACTGCCTCTAAGGGAGAATGTGATCTTTTTCTCGAAAATCAAGGTATTACTTCAAAGAAAACACAATACAGACAACTTGATTACATGGAAGAAAAAGAAAAAGAAGAAGAATGTCGAAAGGTCCACTGATTAATTTTTTAATGAAAAAATTATCCATATTAGCAAGCTTATATGCACTAGTACCAAAAGTGTTTAACCAATCAATGTTTTGATTGGTTAAACACTTTTGGTACTAGTGCATATAAGCTTGCTAATATGGATAATTTTTTCATTCCTGATGATGACATAATTAATGTTGAAATATTGAATCCCAACACGATGGCGTGTATTTCAATAATTGGAGTATGTATTATACTTTCTTATAAGAAGAATGTCATCATGCATTTTCAGTTAATCAACTGTGCTATACGCAACAAATGGAGTACAAATTATTTATGCATTTTAAATAAAGATTTGATAAAAAAAAAAAAGCATTGAGGTATTTCTTTGTTATCATGTACTTTATTAATTTATAATAATTTATTATTTACTATTTATAATAGTTTTCATCACCCTTGTTATTCTTTAAGCCACAGTGTCTCCCAGCCCCGCGCCGCCAGGTGCGTACCTCTGGTCCGAAGGGTCTTTGGTCCAAAGGCCCATTGGTTCAAAGGGTCTTTGTTCTGAAGGTCCGTTGGTCCGAAGATCCATTGGTCCGAAGGTCCATTGGTCCGAAATAGTGGAATTCCGAAATTGTCCGAAATAGAACAATTCCTTACAATTTATGGAGTAAATTAAGAAAGATGACTTTTCATATTTTCCCTAACAACATATAAGGCCAAGTAAAACAAAAAAAATACTTGTTTCTTTTGTCACATCCCGCATCCACTTTCGCTGCCTCAACATTAAAAAAAATATATTTCCTTTATTTTGCGAAATTTATGAAAATCTGGCTAACTCACATCATTAAAATTCCCCTCTCGATCGTGGATAGGGAGATGTTCCTAGTGAGGATTTCAGTTGAACCTTTACCAGTAGTATGAATTAAAACTCAATGTACTAGGATACGAATCATATCTAGTGCATATTTGCTTTTAATGTGCAGTGGCGGAACTACAGGGAGGAAAATTCCTCCTAGAAAATGTGTGTGCCACCCCCCCCCCCCAAAAAAAAAGAGTAGAAGAAAAACACAATTCGTTGGGGGGGGGGGAATACATATGTATTTTATACACATAGTAGACTATTTAGAACCGATTGAATATCCCTCTGAAACCCCTAAATTGTCATATTTTCCGGGGGTTCCGCCCCATGACCACCCACCCCATGGACCACTTTCGAAAACACTTTAATTGAAACCAGACTACGCTCACTTTGCTCTCGTCGGGGAACTTGCCCCCCCACTTGCCCCCCCCCCAACAAAAATCATACCTTGCCCTTCATTTCCCCCCTTCCCCTAGAATGCTTTCGCCGCCACTGTCAATGTGTCTGCTTTGTAAAAGTGAGAAACTGTTTCCCATCGGCCATAAGTAAATAAATCTGTTAAGATTTTCCAAACACTGGATGGAAGTTAATTGAATTCCCCTATTGTTGTTAAAACTTTTCTGTCTCCTGCTTAAACATTAGGAAGTTATACATGCGCTCCTTTCGCTTGGAATCTTTTCATTTTCTAATAATTTGTTAAAAATATACATAAACTGAGCTGACAAGTCATGATAGCAATAATTGTATATTGTTAGCCAATATAGACCTACATGGTTGTGCCGGCGTCCAACCGGAGGTACTACTACAAAATACACTTCTTCCAATTGCTTTAGGATATCGGCATACTTTATTCGTACTAACCAGTGAATACTATAGGAAAATGGAATGAAGTGAAAGCATAAGCACATGCCTCAGTCAATCTGTATTGTGTTATCTAAGCCTATGCTCAGTGTGATTATTGTATTAGCAATTATTCGTTTCTGAGCCTGTAGCTTCAATGCATAAGTACTGCCTAAATATCATATAGATTCATAACTAGAACATAGTATATGCTTACCACTATGGCGAGCAAAGAACACTAAACATTAACTTCAAACCAGAACATGGGAGTGCTTTCCCTTCATCATAGGCATAGTCCATGCTTTTGTCCTCTCAATAAGGGTTGCCAAGGCTTAGGTCATATTTCAACAGTAGAGGGGGTACTATCAAAATAACTAAACAAGAGAAATAATCGAATGCCTTTACACTCCTCGCCTGAGGGTTAATCCCTCACAAATACAGTTATCTAAATTAAATCGAGGAATGATAAACAATTGAACTTGAAATGTCTATTCAATGATTTTTATCGGCTTGTCTTAAAATAATCACAATCTCCCCAATCGGTCGTAAGTACAGTAAGTCCCATTTGCTCCATCTCTGAACACGGAAACGTTCACTTTTCTTATTCGTCCATCAGCGCTAGGCAAAACACTTTCAATGACACCCAATGGCCAAAGATTCCATTGGGTTTCTTTGTCCCTTAAAAGCACAACATCTCCAACACACACATCTACTTGGTTGTGCGTCCACTTTTTCCTAACCTGCAACTCTTGAAGATATTGCTTCCTCCATCTAACCCAGAATTGGTCTGCAAAGTATTGAACACATCTCCATCGACGGCGGCAGTACAAGTCTTGTTTGGTGAAAACTCCTGGGGCTGTAATCAATGGTCGAGTTTTCATAGTTAAGAGCATGTTTGGAGTACGTGGCTGTGGGTCGTTCGGATCAGAGGAAATAGCAACGATTGGTCTCAAATTTACAATAGCAGACACTTCCGCCATCAAAGTTGTTAACAGTTCGTGCGTTAACTGGCGAGGTCCAAGTTCTAACATCATGGCATTAAAGACCTGACGAACTGTCCTGATTTGGCGTTCCCAAACGCCATCGAAGTGGGAAGAGTGTGGGGGGGGGGTTAAATTCCCACTGACATCCTTTATCTGTAAGATGTCTGCTAACGATATCCTGGTCAATTTCAGATAAGGCTTGGTCTAACTCAGATTTCGCTCCGATGAATTTGGTGCTTCTATCGCACCTTAGTAATGCAATGGGTCCACGGATAGCAATAAATCTCCTTAATGCACAAATAAATGTACTTGTGTCCATTGATTCCACAATTTCGATATGGATTGCCCTCGAAGCAAGGCATGTGGAGAATCAGCCAAGGACCGAACACATCCAGTCCGACGTTGGTAACAGGTGGACCAGGTTCAATCCTATCTTGAGGCAGATCTGCCATGATTTGTGTTTTCGTAGACCTCCTGAGCCGTCTACATGTAACACACTTCCCGATGATTGTTGTAACCATTTGGCGACCACCAATAATCCAGTAGCCAGCACTCTTTATGGATCCATGCGTGATCTGCCTGCCTTGCTGATGTGTTTGTTTGTGGTAGTAATGTATAACAAGTTTCGAAATGTGATGGTTCTTTGGCAGAAGTATAGGGTGTTTTTCTTGTGCTTCAAGATGTGAATGGTGAAGCCCCCCCCCCCCCAACACAAAGAAAGTTACTGTATCTTCATTCAGGAATGGATTCAGTCGACAGAGTTTGTTCCCTTTAGGTAATCCACTGGTGCTTTTCTTTATGTGCGTTACTTCCTCACCAAACTCTTCTAATTGGACTTGTCGAATTATCAATTTACATGCTAGCATCATATCCGTCACCGATGGAGTGATGAGCTTGTTAATTCCCACAGGAATTGCTTCACAATTCCTGTTACACATAGGACGATTCTTGTATTTCCTGGCGATACTCATCAGGCTTGCTATTGCCCTCTGCAGTTTTTGCCAACTTGAAAACCGCTGAAATCTATGCGTTCCAATGCCATGTGGTTTACTACCCATGGTATAGTGTACTGAGATGAATGGTCGAACGTCTGGATCGAAATCTTCTACAGCAAATTTAGTCGACGGTGAGGGCTTGCAAGGCTTGCTTTTATAAGGCTTTGAAATTCCTTTTTCTTTTCTCTGGTAATGTTCTGCCTGTTTCCTAATAGCATGAACTTTTGCATCTTCATCTTTCCCAATTACTTTCATACTTTCTTGGGACGTCTCATAGTTCTGGCCTATAGATACAGCTTTATCTAAAAATTAATCATTTTTCTTATTTAGCTTAAATATTTTTCCGAACGCATCTAGGCGAATGAGAAAATAAAAATAAAATTTTATTGATGAACGTAAACATTGTAATAATGCAACTGATAAATGATATAAATTTATATAATTAAGGAAGATATATATATATATATATATATATATCTGNTATTAAAAACAATTAAAACCAAAGAAAAGATTACCATTAAATAAAATAGGTCGGGTCTTCATTGATTAAAATGTGACAAATAATTGAAAACAATTCTAATTTTAATTTCAATCATTTACGCGAGCACGGAATTTACGCGAGCACGCACGTGCGAAAATATTCGATTATATATGAATTCTTATACGCTGTCCATACTAAGTGATGTTAATTATAAAATATAGTTGTAAACCCAATTAAATGTGTGAAATTATTATGCAATGTACGTAACACATATACTTTGCATGTGTTCATCGGGAAGATTATGAAACAAAATTGACGGTGTGTAACACGTGACTTTAGTAAACCAAGGAGCGGAATGCCGCAACTCTTTATATATATGGCTCTGACGAAGACGACTCAATAATAATATGGCCAATAACACCTCATCCTCATCGGAAGAGCTGCTATTGTCCATAATGATACCATAATATTAGAGGTAGGGTGCAATTTACAGTTCAGTCAAACAAATTTAAAGTATAATAATTTACTGAGCGCAATCTAATATTTAGAACACGTGGGCGTATGGTTACGCATGCGTAGTATGCGTAAGTCGTAAGCAGATAACTTTTGTTCGTTGCACACGCTATGAATTTGGCACTCGTGGCAAAAAAAATCAAACACAATAGATATTTGTCGTAAGCGCCACGAATGACAAAAAACGTTCGAAATTACACCGCACACGAGAGCTATGTGCGTACGCCAAATGCCACGAATGACACTTGGTGTAAGCAGATACCGTAGCTCTCGTGTGCGGCAGGCTTTAGTGAAAAAGTTTTCCTCCATTAGTGGAAAAGGAAGAGCGCATTTTGCGTCTGGATATACTTAGCAACCGAAGGGCGCCCTGTACGTTGGGCACGAAGTAGAGAAAACCAATTATATCTTGCTGCAGACCGGCAGCGAGAAGAAGTCAGCCAGATGGTACAAAAAGCAGCCAGACAGCACAAAATCGTTACATGCAAAAGAATAGCCTGGACGATACCATTTCCTCGAGGGTAATTTTAAAATTTCGACAAAAAATTTTGCACTAAAAGCATTCATGATCGACTACGTTTATGGTTGCTGCCCTCTACAGCATTTCAACGTCAGTTTAATTTCAGTCAAAGGTGTTTGACAATAATTCCGGGGTAACTACCCTATGCTCCGAGACACTTATTAATTCAGAGTGCATCGAAAGCTCGTAAAAACAAAAATCATCATGAAAGTTATATATAGTGATTCGTTATGTTTGTTTCTCAATCACTGTCTTGTTTTTCTCGAAATTAATGGTTTAGTAGCGAAGATAATACTTTTTTTTAAATTCTATTAATGATTCTAGTGATGAGCACGTTATAATAATGAGTGTCCGAATTAAAATGTAGCAATTAAATAGAAGCCAGGGGATTGTTCGTTTTAAGAGCCCTCGGATGGCCAATTTTGAAATGGGCTTCTTAAGAAGATTTGATTTTCCTAAACTAAAGAGGGGGCTCCAAATGCCATTGCTATAAATAGTTGTCTCTATAATATGGACAACGTATTACTACTGTACTGAAGGCATTTTCAACCATGGTATTAAAAATTTGTTGATTTTTTTTTTAAAATTCACATCATAGTATTTACGATCAAAACAGGTCAACGAAAATTAAATATTAAAAAAGAGCTTTAATATAATGTGATCATGAAATAAGGCTAGGTCTATGTATAGTTTAAACGTGTGTACATTTGTAATTTATATTAATGATTTCAATCATCAATTTTCAATCATCAAAACTTAATGCAACCCTGTTAACCATAACCATAAGTGCATCTATTTCAACTGAAATGGATGCACGAAATTATGTTGGCCAAGCCAAAGTAGGCCCCTACCGTTCGATTATAATCCTGCGGGAATATTATATCATAATCATCACAGATGCGGATTCGACATTTTAAAACATAATAGGACTTAGGCGATAGATGCTCATTCAGAGCATCTGATCTAAGTTATTTGTTTAGTAATAAGTAAAAAATTCCATGTTTTGAAATATGATCATGCAGATTATTTCAAAACATCTGGCGTAACCTGACGGACATACACGACTGCCCTTCCCCACAAGCTGCCAAGTGCCACTCTTGCTGCGTTGGTAGAATGTATTCTGCGATCTTCTGTATCGGTCTGATAGTGTTTTTTTTTTGTATTTTATCGATATTCAATTCAGACCAATATTTCATATAAACTTCTTTAAATTATTATCTTTATTTTTACTATGATGAATCTCTCTTCTTCCCCGAGTTGGGTGAGGGTTGAACTGTACAGGCCCACCTATAGCCCTAGTTTCGCTATTGGTTATGATGATATATAATTAACTTTATATTTCAATATAATTTTGGTGTTGATGTTGTAATTATTCCATTTGTGGTTACTACAGCAGTAGTAGCAGTAGTAGTATCGTCATTATCTTCATTACTTATTAACTTCTTAAAATTATTACTATATCTTTATCTTTACTACAAGGATTCTCTCTTCTTCCCCGACTTGGGGGGGGGGGTAGTGGAAACGGGCCCACCGGTTCCCCTAATGCCGCTCTATTAGTTATCATATGTTTATTTCAATATAATTGCGGTGTTGTTACTAATGAATTTGTAGTTACTACAGCAGTAGTAGTTGTATCGTCATTACCTTCATCGGTATTGCTTATTATTATTGTTATAGTTCTTTTAATGAACCTTCTAATTACTGGAAAATTACCATACTCAACACATGCTATACTGTTAGAACAGTATGCGTACTGTTCAGTACGGTAGGTCTCTGACCATTTGACCCG